TAGTAGTACACATAGTAGTAGTAGGACCGGGAGACACTTCTACCGTAAGTAAACTTGCGATCCCTCTGCGAAAAAAAACAAAACAAAACACGGAACGTAGCGTAGAATTTACTACGATTTACCAAAATACGCTACGATGCATTGTATTAGCCAATCAGGGCGGAGGAACAGAACGGCATGCTCAGTTAGCCGATAGGACACACCAAGGACACATCGTATTAGCCAATAGCATGGAGGCGGGAGTCTCGCGATCTATAGCGAAAATGTTGCGAGATCGGACGAAAAAAAAAACAAACAAAAAACACAGGAACAAAAGAAGAAAAATCGCGATTTATTTTTATTATTATAATAAATAACTAATCTTGGGAAACACTGCCCCCTCCTGGTAACTCCAGTGTCTCCCCCCGAAGAGGATCGAGTGATAGAAGGAGGATGAGTAAAAACTTATTTTTAGTTTTTTGTTTTTTTTTCCTTCTTCTTCTTCTTCTTCTTCCTAGCACCTGATGATGTCATCCTCTCCAGTGTCTCTGGTTGGTCGGCTGGTCTAGCAGACTAACCCCAGTGTTGTTGTCCTCAACAGTGAGATAACTGGTATATTACTGGTATTTTCCTCCAGCTTTTTCCCACAATTCACTTCACCGTAGCATGCAAGCACGAACAGAGAGAGAGAGAGAGAGCGCCACCTTGAGGAGAGAGAGAGCCCAACAACTCCATATTGTTCCGGCATTGGTCCGGCAGAGAGACCGGACCGGACCGGACCGGACCGGACTGAGGTCCACTCCCAGGATCCTCAGAAATAAAAAAAAAACAAAAAAAAAACAAAATCCGCCCTTATATATACACACATATATTTACACATATATTTACACATATATGTATTTGTGTGTGTGAGACAAAGTGTCTTTGGTCCGTTTTGACGTGGTCCCCTCCGGAGGACCTCTGAGAGGACGTCAAACTCGGGGTCCCCGCTTCACCTCGGTACGTACACACACACACACACACACACACATACATACACACACACACAGAGACACGAACCGCATCAGGCGCAGCTCCAGACGTGGACGGGACAATCTCAAAAGGTCAAAGGTCACCCAAAGGGCATGATGGGTAACGGAGTTTTTTTTTTTTTTTTAACAGGATCCAGACTTTCCCTTTTTCGAGTTCCAGGATGTTTCCGAGGACAGACCCCGTCTCCCGTGTCCGTCCCCTCTACAGGTCCTCCATGTAAACCATGCAGGGACCGGAGTCGCGGCTGGACTCCAGCTGCACCGTGGACACGAACCAGCGGCGGCAGCCGGGGGCGCTGTAGCTGAGGGTGGTGCGGTACACGTTCTTGGCCCGTTTGGGGTAGACGATGGTGGTGCTCTGGTACTTCACGGGCCTCTGCCGGGGCTCCAGGTACACCTGGGTCCTGTAGCGCCTCCACGTGCAGTTCCGCACGGCCACCACCGTCTCGCTGAAGGCGGTGGGCGTGGGGAAGGGCGCGCAGCACACGCCGTCCCGGTGGTGTCTGTCGGAGTCGTACCGGACCTCGGAGTTACAGCTGGAAGGGGGGGGGGGGGGGGGGGGGGGGGGG